CTTCAGTTTTGTGGCGACCGGATTGATGGAGGATGGCAAGGTGAAACCTGCCCAGTCACCTCTGCATTCGGTTGTACAGGTAAGAAGTGGGGACGGAGGAACACCTGTTTGAAGCTGCAGAAATACTCCTGCAGAGCGGGTCTGCAGGACCCCTGTGCCACCTGGAGCAGAGCTAACGGGAAGCCTGAGGCAGCGTCGTTCTGAACCCTTGCATCCTGTTGTTCTTCCCTTTCTATTGACTGCCACGGGCAAAGGTCCTCAGGGCCCTGCGAGTCTGCTTTCCTCTCCCAGGTGGACCCGTGCTAGCGGGAGGGCTGCGTAAATGCCCGGGGGTGGAAAGGTGCCACCGACATGCACCCTGCTAGATGCAGGCAGCGTCAGCCCACTGACCTACATCTGCCCCGCTCCCTTCTCCTCCCTCTCCCCCGCCGGGAGGAGCAGCTGTGGGGTGCAGCAGGCAGCAGTCTGCCAGCTCGCTCTGTCGCAGTGAACTCCTGCGGTGGCACGGGCCCTGCCCTGAACCCTCCCAGCTCATCACCTCTCCGCTCTCCTCTCGCAGCAGCTGCACGGCAAGAATGTCCAGTTCAGCGACGGCTACGTGGTGAAGGAGGCGATCGGCGTCGGCTCCTACTCAGTGTGTAAACGCTGCGTTCATAAAGCAACCAACATGGAATACGCAGTCAAGGTCTGACATTTACCATCTGAACCGAACTCCCCCATCAGATTTCTGTTTATCCCCGTGAGGACCAAAATAGCATCCAGGAATGAAATCGCTTTCCCTGCTTGCGTAGGGCCTAAGTGGACAATTTCTGTGCTGCTGGGCGTGTAACTGCACGAGCTTTCTTATCTAGGAGTAGCGGGGCAGCAGCGTTCTCTGTCGGGGGGGACCGTATCTCACCTTTCTTTGCAAAGTTTGCTGTGGCTGTGTCAGCCCTGAACGAAAAAGCCAGGCATAAGACTGGGGCTTGGGGATGCAGAACTGATGAAGCAACTCAGGGCCTTCTAGAGCTTATTGCTAAAGAGGGCAGGGACAGGGAACGGCTCCGGTGCAGGATCACTGCAGGGCTGCAAACACCCAGCTTGTTTGCTTTCTCCTGGCCCGCCTCCCACCCCGCTGTGGCCAACGCTGCTCCGTGCTCTTGCAGGTTATTGACAAGAGCAAGCGAGACCCTTCTGAGGAAATAGAAATCCTCCTGCGATACGGGCAGCACCCAAACATCATCACCTTGAAAGATGTGAGTGTCACCTGAACGGCTTCTCCTGTGTTGTGGTTTAGGAGGTGCCGACTGGTCCGGGGGGGCCCGATGCAGCCCGGGGGCCTGGCTCCACGCGTCGCTCTGGGCTGGGGGAGCATCCCCAGAGCCACCCGCATTGCTGACTTCTGTCTGCTTCTTGGTGGCAGAAGTACCAAGGGGAAGCTCTGGAAGCCCTTTTTGGTTACCCCTCCCTGTTTGCTTCGGTAGGTGTACGACGATGGGAAGTACGTGTATCTGGTGACTGAGCTGATGAGGGGAGGGGAGCTGCTGGATAAAATCCTCAGACAGAAATTTTTCTCGGAGAGGGAAGCCAGTTCGGTCCTGCACACGATCTGTAAAACAGTGGAGTATCTGCATTCCCAAGGGGTGAGTATGGTTACGTCTGGTTTCCTGGGAAGCTGTCGGGCATTGCGCTAGGCTCCCTCTCCTCCGGGGAGTAACTGTGCCTGTCAGGACCATCATTTCTTGCTGGTGGTGCTGTCTTGGCAAGCCAGCCGCGGGGCCAGAGCAGGGGTTGAGTGTCCTGATGCAGCTTCAGACCTTTGTCTTCCAGGGGTATGAGAACGGCTCTTTCTTTGCTCCGCAGGTGGTTCACAGGGACTTGAAACCCAGCAATATTCTCTACGTGGATGAGTCAGGAAACCCCGAAAGCATTCGCATTTGTGACTTTGGCTTTGCCAAGCAGCTCAGGGCTGAGAACGGCCTTCTCATGACTCCCTGTTATACGGCAAACTTCGTGGCACCCGAGGTAAGCACCTTACTGACCGGAGGCCCTCGGTAGCTCTCGCGTCCCTCCCCAGCCTGTGCTTGGCACAGGTAGGTCTGCCCCGTTCCTACCGCCAGCCTGCTCCGGCATAGCCCGTCCCGCAAGAGGTAATTACAGAAATACCACTTGTAGTAACGAACAAATAGGGGATCTCAGGTGCAGTCCTCCAACTTGTGCTGTCCTTATGAGGGGGTCTGCTTGGGGAACTGAGGCTTTAAAGCCCCAGTCATTTCCTAGGCGGCTTCCCTTCCTGATTAGCTGACCTGCGAAAGGAGGGGGGATGACTTTCCACTCGCTTATCTCGGTGCGGAAGAAAGAAAAAGAGCAGGCGCGCAGTGCGGTGTCACCGCACTGGAACACGGCTTCTTTCTCGCTTGTCGTTTCGATGTGCCTGGGGGGTTCCTCTGTTCCACGAAACAAAAATCTGATTTGGATCCTCATCTTTAGTCCGAGAGGTTGCTGTTTGGTAGGGCTCTAGGAGCTTTGCCTACAGACTGCACACGGGGTCAAGGCGCTCTTCACAAGCTGAAGTGAGCTCAACAATGAGAACCGAACACGGGTTTTTTTCCCTTTGCTTGTTCTGCTCAGGTACTAAAGCGCCAAGGCTACGACGAGGGCTGCGACATCTGGAGCCTGGGAGTTCTCCTGTACACGATGCTCGCAGGGTAAGCGCCGCTGTCTCTCGGGAAGGCAGCAGCTGGGGCTGTGACCGCCTTGCGCTCAGCCACGCTCCGCGGCGGCCGCTGGGCCTCTGCACCTCTCCTCGTCGGTCGCTGCTACCTGGAGGTGCTCCCCGGCTGGGTTACAGGGCAGTAAATCAACGGCTCCCTCTTCTCTCCCCAGCTGCACTCCGTTTGCAAATGGTCCCAGTGACACTCCAGAAGAGATCCTGACCCGGATAGGCAGGGGCAAGTTCTCCGTCAGCGGAGGCAACTGGGACACTATTTCTGACATGGCCAAGGTGCGGTTTGCTGTTCATCTGCGTTGCATGAAAGGGTCGAGGCCAAGCACGGCCAGTGGCCACGAGGCAAGGTTAAAGCAGGCTGGGGAGGGAGGGCAGAAGAGAGCGGAGCAGAGCGGCAGCGTATTTGAGCCCATAGCAGCTCAGCAGCGTGCCTCTCCCCGCTTGGGTTTAGCTCTGGCTGTGAATGTTTGCGTGCAACACCAACCTCGTGCTTGGCCCATGCGGGGTTTGCTGCTGTGTTATACCTCCCAGGCCTACCTTTTGGTTTTCATATATTTTACACAAAAGGAGATTGATGTCTGGGGACTTTAAACTTGGCCTCTGACTTTAAATCCTAATTTGGGGGTGGACAGGTAGTATTTTTGCATTTAAAGTATGAAATCTTCTGAAGTCTAACTTTCCAAATGATGCCCTTAGGATTTGGTATCAAAGATGCTTCACGTAGATCCTCACCAGCGCCTAACAGCCAAGCAGGTCCTGCAGCACCCGTGGATAACCCAGAAGGACAGCTTACCCCAGAGCCAGCTGACCCGCCAGGACCTTCAGCTTGTGAAGGTACAAAGCCGGGGCTGGGCCTTCAGCTGGTTCCTCGGGCACCGTGGGCTCTTTGGAAAGCAGCGGTCCAGGCAGGGTGATGGTGGTGTGGGCAAGCAGGATGGATGGTTGGGGAGCTGTGGGCCGGGGGAGGCAACACAAGGCAAGCTGGTTTTTCGGCAGGAAAGCCTGCGTGTCAGTACGGGAGGGAGATTTAAAAAAAAAAAAAAGAAAAAAAGAAATGCTTCAGGCTTTCTTTGTGGGTCTGGCTACTCTGGTCCCTCACTTGTAAAGCCGGGAGCCTGAAATACCTGTTCTGCATTTAAATGACTTCTCGTGCCTTCTCTCCAAGGGGGCGATGGCTGCCACGTACTCTGCACTGAACAGCTCCAAGCCAAGCCCCCAGCTGAAGCCCATCGAATCCTCCATTCTGGCACAGAGGCGGGTGAAGAAACTTCCTTCCACCACGCTGTGAGGCCGGGGCGGTCCGCAGCCGCGCGGCGCGGTCGCACCAGGCTTTGCGCGCCCACTGAAGGCGGGGGCAGGAGACTGGGCGGTCAGCGCCTGCACGGGAGCTCCCTTGAGGACTTCTCAAAAGGCCAAGTGCCTTTCTGTTTCTGAGAGACTGGCTCCTCCTTGTGTGGCCTGATCTTTGCTGAGAAAACTTCACTGTAAAACTTCTTTGAAGTGTAAATTGTCAATTTTTCAAGACATCCATCTGTGTATATGAGAACTAGAATGTACAACTGATGTCAAGTGGCACAAAAAGCAGCTGATTCACCCCTTCCTGCGTAGGGCCAGATATTTGTTGTAGCTACGTCATTTCTTAGAATCAATCCTCTCCAACGCCGTTGCAGCTGAAAGACCGTGTAACGTTCGGGGTTTAGGTTTTGGGGTTTTTCCTCCCTTGAACCTTTGGATGCCCTTCCCGAAGTCAGCCCTGCCGCCTCCTAGCCAGCAGCACTGGCGCTTGGAAAGGACTTGCCTCCTCTTCACTCTTTGTGCGTGTGTGCAGAGTACAAGGTCGATTTTTCAGACTCCGTTTCTTCCTCTCTCCTGCCCGCCCCCAGCCCAGACGGTTCTCTGAACAAAGTAAACCACGGGTTTTCCAAACCGCCCCCGCGGATGCTCGGCTGCCCAGAATACCTGCTAGGTTCGGCTCGTCCCTTCCCTCTGCCCTCCCATCCCCGTGTCCTCCCCGTCGCTCCCCGGGCGTTCGTCACCCGCGCAGGTGGAGAGTCCGAAGGAACCTTCTCAGCAAAGCTGAGGCTTTGGGCTGGCTCTGGCTGCTGCTTTTAACATTTTTGGGTTTCCTTTCCTTCAGCAGGCACCTTGAACCTATGAAACAAACCATCCTTTTTTTAACTTAACTTTGTTCTACAGCTGGTAACTCAGGGTTTCTTTCTGAATTGTATAATAAATGTGTCATTCAGTTGATGTTTTTTTACTGACTGACTTTTATAGAAGTCACAGAGTAAGCGACCCCGGTCGTTTCCCCACGTCGTACGGGGACAATGATTCTTGCCTGCCTTTTGGGAGATCTGCAAAGCTTTTTCATCTGCCCAGTGACGGGCAAAGCAGCAGCACTGCAGCGGGGCTGCACGTTGTGCCACCTTCTCTCGGGTGCAATACTCACTTTGCAGCGGGACGTACTTAGAACCAGTTGTGGGTATGGCAGTAACAACAGGAGAGTGGGCAGGCTGCAGAGGGGAACGTCTTATTCTCGGGACATTTTAGCGCTAACAGAAACGAATGCTCGGAGGCAAACTGTGCTAGAAATAAATTCCCCACCCGTTCTGACTTGCAGGGACTTGCTGGAGCTCCCTGGTTCGGTGGTGGCCGTTTCTCGGGAGGAGCGGGAGAGCTACGGGGACTGCAAACGCTTGCGTGCTCAAGGATGCGACTGAAGCCAGCAAAGGTTCTCGTGTGAATTTCTGCTGCTTTTGGCTGATAGTACAATGAGAGGGGAAACTTTCTTTTTTGCTTTTCCCTTTTGCTTAGTCCCAGTTGACTCTAAAATGGAGAATTCCATAAAAAAATTTCCTCTGAGCTGTACAGCTCTCTCCTCCTCTACCCTCATCCAGGCAGGTCCTATTTTACTCCCCAGAGCAGCCAGTGAGAAGCTGAAATAGTCACAATTCTTTGCTATATTTATTCCAAGCACTGCCCTCGTGTCCCGTGCGCTGAGAGGAGGCGGCCAGTGCCAGTGCACGCTGGACCTTCTCACTGGTTTTGCCACCGACCCCCAGCAGAACTGGATTTAAGGTTTTGCTGGTAGCTGGGGACGGGGACACTCCATCACACAAAATGCCTTCCTTAAAAATACTTGCTTTCTCCTCTGGCCCGATGTTTGCACTGGTGCCGACGAACCCGCCTTACACTTCCTACAACCGTGCAGTAACTTTCCTGCCGGTGAAAAGGCGTGCAAATTTTAGGTAACTGAACCAAATATAATAAACAGCTTCTTTCTGGAGCTTGGGGTCAGTCCCTTCGGGCACTGCTGGGATTGAAGCAGACACTTGGACAGCTTTTTGGAATATTTCCTACATTGGAAAGGGTGCAGTGTGAGACGGTGGATGGGGTTGGACGCGTTGGTGGTGATCACCGCTCCCTGGGAGCCTCCCAACGGTACGGACCGTCAGGATGGGTCTGAAACCCAGCGTTCGCCCTGCTTGGATGGTAGCTGGCTTGTTTGTATGAAATTGTAAATGTTTTCAAATATCGGTCAGGAAAAACATTACAGCCTTTGCTTAATCCTCCCTGTAATGGTGCTGGTGTGAGGCCAACTGGTGACAACTCAAGGATGCGTAGGACAAGCGGGTGCAGAGCTCTGTGGGCACAGGGGGAGCAGCCCCCGGTTGCTGCAGACCCTGCCTGGCCGTCAGACGATACCCGGAGCGTCAAACCCCAGTACCCGGAGCATCAAACCCCTCCGCCTCGCTGGGGTCCTCAGTCAGAGGAACTTTGTGCTTGGTGCAGCTGTAGCTCTTGCACCTACGCCACTTTGGAGAACAGAGTGAACAAGAAGGGCTACACCTTGTTTTCTGGGTTGCTTTTAACCAAGTTGTTTTGAGCGATCCTTCCGTAAGTAAAAATAAGTCTTGATTTTTAGTTCCAAATCAACCAAGTGCTGTTACTTTTTTAATTCCAGTGCTCAATAAAAATGCACTTGTTGATCTTTCTGTGTCTGAGAGCGGTAGGTGTTTTTAACGGGTTGGGTGGGCCCCCTCGTTCCCTTTCTGGTTTTGGCCAGTATTAAACCTGTGCCAAAATACAGCTGGGACCAACCACTGTCCTCTTAACGGGAACTGGGTTATTCCAGGTGAGCGTTGGGCCGGGGTCAGGCTGGGTCTCTCGTGCCTGTTGGGGGAGCCAGTAGGTGTTTTGGAGAAGACCAAATGCTCTGCTCTCACGAGGGTTTGAGGTCATTCGGCTTTAACTTGGGACAAAGAGGATATACAGCTTACCTTTGTCTTGAATTGAAAAGGGACAAAAATTTATTTAACGTTCGTGCATAAGGAAATCTTGACAAGGAAAACTGCTTGTGTTATTTCAGGTGTTTCGTAGCTGACTTGACCTTTAAGATTTTGTCCTGTACATCTACCCGAAAGCTCAAGGGACAGAAATCCCAGACTGCAGCCCCCAATAGCTGAGTCTACCTGGAATTCACCTGTGTGGAAATCGCATGTTAATCCATACACCAGGAGCCTGAAAATAATATTGAGCAGGTCTCTATATAATGCAGCCTCTATATAAGAAAGGTTAAACTTCCCTGTTTTGGGGTGTAAATCGGTGACATTTTCTGTCGTAGAAGAGGCTGACCCAGCTGAGAGGCTGGTTCCCTTCTTCCCACTGCGTAACGCAGCCGTGCCTTCCTCTTAATGATGTGGTACTGACCTCTGTCAGATCAACCGGAGCATAAATGAATGTATTTTGGCCTGATAAACACTCCCATCATGATTATTTCGGCTGTCTTTAAAACTGAAGGCCAGTAACTTTCTCAGCAATCATCTCTTTTTTTCTTAGTGAAACTTCCCTCAGCAATCTGCTTTTTAACTTGCCATCCACCTAATGCAAATACCTTCGTCAAGCCCCCGTCTTCAAGTTAGCTCACGTAATTCTTTTTCCTGCGTCTTTTGCCATTTGTGGCCAGCGAATTGTGCAGCCGGCGGCCTCCCGGGTGCCCCCACCTCCTCGTGGCAGCCGCTGCCACCTTCCCAAGAACGCGGAGGCTTCGGAAATACTCGGTGACCGCAAGTGCGTGTGGGGCGGATGCTGCGCTTTCATGTAATATTCAACAATGTAATCCCTCTTTTAACGCAAAGAGAACATTTAAAATATTTCAAGGTCTTCTTTTGCAAGTACATGGGGGCTCTGAATAAAACCTTCATTCATGCTATGAAAGCTGGAGGTCCGCTGCCACTCCGTTTTCTTGCCTCTGGTTATTAAAACATCAAGCTGTCTTACTACTTAAGCTGAGCTAACTTGCTGCCTTCCTCCTTTTGTGTTACACGGGAACACCTGCCATTAGTACTAATTCCACTCTGGAGAGAAACTCCCTTTCAGATATGCCTGTCTGAAAATAAATTGACATGTAAAAGGTCTCTTTTGTCGAGAAGCGCGTGTAAAGTGCTGGGGTAAGAAGCCGATCGCTTACAAAAGGAGCCCCTGACTCTTTAAATGATGAGTGTGGAGGGGGGTTTAAATGTTAAATATGGAGGGCGATACTGTAAACGGGCTGGCAGGATGCGGCTAGAGAAGCTCGCGGAGCTGCATCCTCTCCGTGGGATTAGACATGAAGATTTTGGGTGCTTTTCTGTTGAAAGCTCCGGCGGTAAAACCGCTGCATTCTCTCGGGGTGAGTGGCTGGGCTCCGCAGGGACCCGCGTGGAGAAAACTCCTTTTTTGAGAAAAAGTGGTGGTGGTAAGAATTCCTCCCTGCTTTTTAACACGTGCAACAAAAACTAAGGGCATTGATGGCGAGTCCTTCGATTTACGTGTGTAATGAGCTCCAGGGCTCTGTTGTTTTTCCTGGGACAAAAGTTTGCATCACATCCAGTACGGAAGCAGCAGAAGAATCCTTGGTTGGAGTATTTATTCTGTCGTACAGGCAGCAGTGTGAGACAGCAAAAGGTAAATATTTTTATTTTTAATGGGAAGAACGGTTTTCTTTGAGTTCCTCATACCCTGTGGGGTCTATGGCTCTCTCCTAAGAGAAAGTTTTTAAGCGGGTTCTCTGGGCCGAGCTCGGGAGTGGAATGATGCTGCTTCAAAATCTGCTCCAGTGCTGAAAAGACGGATGGGTCCGTGACTGTGGATGGAGATCTCAGTTCTGTGGCTCTCAGCTGCTGCTCATTGGCTTTCTGGGTCTTCCAGCAAAGGAATCGGACCCTTCGTAACGAAGATCAAGTCGAAATAAGTTCAGGGTTTGAAAGGGCAAAAGTGCAATGTGCCAGTTACAGAGACCCCCTCGATGAGCTGGC